TTTGGTTGTAGTGGTGACGAGCTTTTGTTAACTGAAATGATTTTTAACGGTGTGTTCAACGACTTGACAACCGAACAAAGTGTCGCCCTCTTGAGCTGTTTTATTTGTGAGGAACGGGTAAGTACAAAGGAATCCCAACATTTACCAAAGGACCTTTTAATCMATTTTAACGTCCTTACGTACATACATTGTGTAGACGTTACCTAAAAGCGTTTTCAGTGGCTTGCACGCTAGGCAATGGTCCTTCCCTCCCCTCMMCTCCTAAGTTATAAAATGTTATGTTATGTCATGTTTAGCGAGATGCACCTTGGGAATGAAGCCATTTTGAATGTGTTTTTCAAAGCATAATTTCTTTCTCGGAAAGGTATTTGAGTATACTTCATTGTACAACTATCTTCTAAAACATCCTTGACAATTTAATAAATGTTAATTTAGCAAAGAAACTTGGTAGGTCATCCGCGATCTTGAAAATATTACCAATACCATGATGCACTTCGCCAAACATGACGTCACCTTAACCGCTTGAACCATGTATGTACCATCCACGCCATKCCTGAATTACGGCACAAGAAGTCTAGACGGTGRTTACTGTCAAATTTTCTTCTTTTTTTCTCTTTTTTTATTTTGTTTGTTTCGCGTCGTTGTTCCCTAYGCTTCTCTCGCGTTCTCCCTACATCTCGCGTGTTTTGATCAGAGTATTAAACACGGAAATCCGTTTTATATTCCTTAAGTAAATTTGTTGTCTTTTTGAACGATTTTAGAGCGACGAGCTACCCAAGTTAAAAGAAGAGCTCGCTGGTCCATTGAGACAGATGCAGGAGTCAGCCCGCCGCATTGCTAAAGTCTCCCAAGAAGCCAAAATGGATTTAGATATCGAGGATTACGTGGAGTCCTTCCGACCTCACATCATGGATGTCGTGTTTGCTTGGGCGAATGGCTCTTCTTTCTCTCATATTTGTAAAATGACTGATATATTTGAAGGTAGGNTATATTAAACCACATTTTTACGTTTAAAACTAGTTTTCTCTTCAATAAATTGAAATTCTCAGAAATTTTTACACCGAATGCTTGTGTGACAGGACAATAGTCATTTTTCATGATCTATTGCACATGGAGAATGCTTGAAAACAGCATTCATATACACCCTTTTGATAAGTCCCGATGTATCGAGTTCTCTGCACTTGACGTCAAATTTATTCTTTTGAAATTTTTACAATACAAAAGGATTTCAAAAGAATAAATTTGACGTCAAGTACGGAGAACACAATACCTCGGGACTTATTAAAAGGGTGTATACAGGTCATTTATCATAAGTGTTTTCAAACACCGCGTTCATTATGATGACATCACAGWTTCGTCTCCATTCCACTCGTCATCGATGGTGCCATCTGTTCTTCCACCACAGGTAGTCTGAGCATCGCTTTTATCGATSTATTGTAGCTCCGCAGCCTGGTGTAGCAAATTATTGGATTCAAAATTGCGCTACACATGACAAGAGGTACTGAAGTACGCCATGCCACAAAAAACCACGGCTTTGCGACACAATTTGCACATTCGCCTTCAATAGCTGTTAGTATGATGTAAGGAAGCATTGACAGCCCAAGAGAAASCACAATGAAGAAAGATGTCACTGAAAGTTTTTTCTGAATCGCCATATTTCTATCTGGAACCGCGCGGCCTCTTTGAAATTCTCCATTGSTTGATTCACGTGGAAAWGTTGCTCTTTTTTGCTGCCTTAGTTTGCAGTAAATAATKATGTAGCTCAGAACGATGATGACAAATGGAAGGATCATGTTTACAACCATATCTACCAGTTCGAATAGACCAGGTGGCAAGGCTTCAGACGGGATGAGGATAAACGCTGTTGAAACACAGAATATGATTATGGTGCACGCACAAGTCTTCTTAATAGTGATTGAAGCAYGAAAAAAATGAGGCCAAACTACAGCAAAGAGTCTTTCCACGGACAAAGCCGTCCCTATAAGAATCGAACAATTGACAGTTACAAACAAAACTGACATGGAGACATTATCTCTGAAAAAAGGCCGCTTGAAAACACCCTGTGCAAAACACCGTCCTAGTTCGTGGTAGGCAAACGTTGTGGATCCTACGGTACCTGTGAGAAGGTCWACAAAAGCWAGTCCCGCGATGAAACTCGTGCAAGGTTTTCGTAGAAGTTTTAGCGGGTTCTTTATGATGACAAGAAGTAGAAGAAGGTTTGGAACTGTTATCATGAAGGAAGCCAAGCACGAAGAAACGCCAGTGGYGAGACAGGTTGTCCTTTTATAATCCATTATTGAAATTTTACAATTTCAGAAGCTTCAAAAATCYYTAAAAGATTCAACGTGGAGCCGTTTCTATTTGTGATATTTCCTTACACTAAACGTTTGACTATTGGCTTAGTTACCAGTATGACGTGTGGAGTATTATTGAGCTCTAATTATCAAATTATAAACGTCAATTTATAAGGTAATATGACCAAAAAGTGTATTACTTATTTCATATGTACACAATGTGATGTCAAAATGCTTTTTATAATGTCGATTTTGGCAAACAGTCAATAGTGGTCGGTGACAGGAACTTCCTCAATCGACACAAAATGGACACACGCGTCATTTTTTCATTAGCATTCTTCGTTCCTGACTGCACTTCACTTAGAAAGTGTGCAAAAGTTCAGAAACAGAATATGMAAACTAGACTTATTTCAGTTTGCTCCGACAAAAAGAAAATCTGAGGAGCGCAAATTATCGCGTAAGAAATCGGCTTGAGAGGATGAGAGAGACTTTGAATATGCCACAGGAATATTGCAATACCATCTATCTCTATTGCCATGTATTTCTGCGAAAGGAATATCAGAGAAGAATCTAAAATACGTGAA